AAGAAACCACCTAGCTATACTTGTCTACAAAAGTATTTTAGACTTTTGAAAATTGGAAGTATTCTTGATGCATCTTTTTCTAACACTGAATAACTAGGTGATTTTTCCGTGCTCATGCACGGACATGTATATTTATAAAATAAATATACAATAATAATTGATTGATATTTACTTTAATTTTTAAATTAATTTATAGTTTGTATATCTAATTTATATTATAATGTTATATTACTTTAACTATATAAATAATTTTAGATATGTTATATTTAGTCTATTTTATTGTTTTTACGGTGGATATAGTTATCATTTAGATATTTTTGGATTCTATCTATTTCTCTGAATTCAACTATAATCTTTATATTTTAAATATATTAAATTTTTGATTAATTGTCTTATTTGCATTTATGCTGGTTGTTATTTTAGAAATATAAGTATATTTAGTAAGATTATATATAACTTAAGATTTTTTGTGCTTAGAAGGAAAAATAAATAAAAATTAAAGTGTCTAATTCTAAATTACATACAAAAGTAACTAATGAATTTTTAGAAGCTTTTGAACTCATATCAATATTTACAATAATTAAAATATTTTATAAATTCTAAATAAATTTATGCTTTAGATAGATTGGATGGTAAATTGAAATTTATTTTAAATAATTTTAAAAATAAGGATTCTGATTTGCTTAAGTATTTTGACTATGGTTATAATAAGTTTCACAAACATAAAAACAGAAAATTAATAATAAAAAGATTTATTAAGAAAGCATATAATTTTAACTATTAAAATATAATATATCTACCTCGTTAAATTATATAGTATTATGGTATTTTAAAATAATTGTAGTTATTTTCTGTTTTTATGTTTGTGAAACTTAATATAACCATAATCAATATACTTAAGTAAATCAGAATCTTTATTCTTAAAACATATAATTTTAACTATTAAAATATAATATATCTACCTCGTTAAATTATATAGTGTTATGATATTTTAAAATAATTGTAGTTACTTGATCAAAAGATGTTTATTATTAAATTTATTTTTAGTTTTATTTTTAGCATCTCTTAAAATATTCAGTAAAAAGTGATTGTTTTTGAGAAATTATACTATATAAGTAAAATAAAATTTATATTTTTACTGTAATTGTAAGATATTATAGTCAAACAAATTTACTAAAAAAATAATTTCAGTAATACTAATTATAAAAATATCAATTAAACATATATCAGTTTATTTTAGTTGATTATTTTATGTAATCATCTAATAAAATAGATAGATATATACAAAAATAATTATTTTTAAAATAAATAAATTTTATTGGTTAAAATTATATTTTTTAAAGAAAAAACTATTTCTTTTTCTAATAGTAATATTTTTGTGTGAATTTTTTTTTATGAAATCACACTATATACATGTATTGTTTTTTTTATCTAAGAAGATATAGATATAAAGTATTTTATTACTTCAAAGGTATATTTTATGTTATTTAAAATATATTTAAATTAAATATTACTATTTTGTGAACTTTCCTTTTTTTTATTAAACCATATTATATATACTTATATTTTCGTTTTTAAATAGTTTTGTAAATTTTATAAATGTTTCCTTTTTATTTTAAATTGTTATTTGGAAATTTTTAAAAAGGAAATAATATTTAATTGTATTTTAATTCATTAGGGGTATCTATGTAATCAACCAACGTGATAATTAACGTGAGCGCGACACCTAAGAAAGTGATTTCTCAAATAATATTATAGAGATATTAAGCCACCAAAGCAAAGGTCCAATCCAAACCATTGAGAGAGTATAAGACTTTAAAAAATGGAGAAGGGAAATAATGAAAATACACACACCAGTAGGCATGTAGAATCATAGCCAAGATTAACTTAGCTATAGGTAGAAAAACATACGCCAAGACAAATCTTCCATTTCCAGACAGATGTTGGAAGATGCGTACACCTTATGAGGTGGGATCTGACATTCAGAGCTTCTTTAGAGATTACTTAGAGCATGCCTATCGAAGGCTTTTAAGGGGTTCATTGGTCCAATTTCCAAGAAAAACTAAATAAAATACAATAAATCCTGTCAATCTACCCCTAGAGAGTTCACTGCGACGAACCGGATTCATGGCAGTTTCGTGGGTCCCACGACACGTGGCAGTCCGCGCTTGGTTGGATTGTTATTTATTTTTTTTTAAAAATAAAACGAAGAAAATAAAAAGATAAATAAAAAGAAGCTATGAACCTCCTCACCCAGTTCACTAATGTGAATGCCCTTAAAGGCAGAGGCGGCCCTTGAACCAAGCTAATGAAATATGGGCTTCTGGCCGCCAATAAAATAAGTAGTTAATCGACCATAATTTTACTTTTCAATAAAATAAGTAGTTAATCGACCATAATTTTACTAAAGGTATCTGTAGTACAGTGGTTAATTGTTTTACTATGACATTTTCGAAACGTAAAGAGTGCATAATGATTTTTTTCATGTTTTTGGTTTAGAACTTGTGACCCACCATTAGCAATGTACGACTGGTATCTTCGTTCCTCTGTGACACTATGCAATCTTCATTGCTATCTGATTTCGACTTGATGCATCTACACTTAGAGCATCACTGCATCTTTTAAGGGGAGGGGGTCTCACTTTTCCACTAAAAACGTGTATTGCCGGAGGCAGATAAGAAACGTTTGTGGAGAGTTTGTTCAACTGTTTTACAGGCCCCACGACACGTGGCGGTCCGCGATTAATTTCTCTTTTTATTTCTTCTGAAGAGCATATAAAACACAAAAAAATTAAAAAAATAAGAAACCCCAAATGGGGTTCAGCATTAAAGATGCTCTTAGACCAAGATTATAGGGGCATCTTAGCACGTATCTTAGTTTTAATCAGCCGAAAAATAAATCAAAACTACGGTAAAAGAAGAGGGACGTTTGTTAAATAAGAAGTTTTCGTTGACGTCCTTAGGAGCACGTAAGTTTCTGCAATCTTAGTTTCTCATCTCCATCTCTCCCCTATCAACTTTGCCATCCGTAAGTTTCTGTAACTTTTTTTTGGTAAAAATCAATCTAAGATTCTGTAATCAAAAGTGTCACTGTAAGTTTTTGATCCGCAGCCTTTGATATTTTCATCCTCTGTTAAACTGTCAGTGTAAGTTTCTTGATTCAGTTCTATAAAAACACTCACAAACCTTTACTAAAGACGTGTTTTTCTTCATGACTGAATGTAAGCCAAACAATGGAGTCAAACAAGGGGAGGAAGAGTCTGAGGAGAGGAACATCGAATGAAGTTGAAACAAATGCACCAGATGTGGGTGCCCTTTGTATATAATGAACTCTCAGTCTCACACACATACACAAACACAAGTATAAAGGTGATTGACTTTTTACTCAAGGAAGAACAGTTATTTTGGTTTTTTTCACCTAGTAATTCTGGTATGGTTACTCTCTTCTTCAGGGGGAAAGATCATCGTCTTTTAAGGATGATATTTGACATAACAGCTTGCTCAGAGGTATGGGATTAATTTTCAATTTTCGATTAAAGGATGATTACTCTTGGGGTTAGCTTTTTTTGTATGATTAAATTACTGAAAGCTGAGGCTTGAGGTGCTTCCCATCAGAGCCGACACTATTTATATACAATCTCCTTCTTATAGTTCCTAACATGATTATAGCAATTAGTGTGATATAATTTGTTTCTCAGTAAACTGGGAACGTTTTAGATATATATAGTATGGTGACTTAAGCTTGAATAGCGGTTTCTAAATCAGAGTTTTCTTAGAGATGATGACAACTAGAAACAATTATTAGACAGGGAGTTTTGGAGAGATGGAGACTTGTGATTTTGAATTGATTTAAGTCTTAAGACGTAGCCTTCTCTTTATTTTTGGTTTATGAAAGTAATAAGATCAGTACGTCACTTGATTTGGTAGGAACAGAGTAACGTTAATCACTTTCTCATTATGTTTTCATTATGCATTTTCTTCCAAGTTTTTAGGAACATGTAGTGCAATTTTTGTGTTATACATAAACAAAAAGCAGAAAGAAAAGGCAGAGAAATTTGCATGAAAGCTACGTGTGTTTTTAGTTCTTTTAGCAAGTGTTTTTTATCAACAGGAAAACCCTGCATCTATCACATTTTATAGCCATTGTCTCCCTCTCATCTCTCTTCTTTTGGATATGCGATAGATGTCAACTCTCAGCTTGGTCTCTCTGATCCCTTTCCCACAGGCTGCTGCTCAAAGTCTTTTACAAGGATGCAAGGAATGTTGATGAAATTCTAAGCAAGATTGCAGAGTGGAAGGTGTGCTCTGTAAGGAGGGAGGCTAACAAAGCTGCATTTCTGATTGCCCGGAGTGTGACAAAGGAGAAGAGATCTCAATCCTATGTTGCTCAAGGCAGTCCTTCTTGGCTTAGACGTTTACTTGCGGAGGAAGGTATGAGACACAGTTGAGTTGAAGTGTTGATGGAAGGCGGTTTTTTATCTATTTATTTGAATGCAATGCGGTTTTTATGGTGGGAGCTGTGTTTTAGGCGAAGCTCTTTTCTCTGGTTTTCTTTCTCTTTTGTTGTTTACCTTTGTGTCGAAAAACATCCTCTGAGTTTATGCAATCAGTTTATGAGTTGAAAAAAAAAACATCAAAAGTCCTACCAATAATCTACTCATTTGAGGTTGACTCTTAACTTTGTTTCTTAACATAACAAAATCAATAAAATAAACTAAGGACTCAATCACAAGTCCTACTAATAATGTTGCCCTTAGTTTCTTGGTTCAAGTACATCCACATTTTCCATTTCGTTTTGCACTAACATAATCTTCTTAATTTAACAAAAACGAACAAAATTTACAAAAAAAAAGGAACAAAATCAAATAACTGTCTGGATGATGATGAACAGTGTCAAATTGCTTTCTGATTTATGAAAAAGACAACATTGCCATCGGAATTACATCAATTCTTCCAAAAGGTGACGAAATGCTCCTTATAAACAGTGAAGACTAATTCTCTTTATTTAACACCAAAAGGGAAAAAAAAAGAAGGAAAACTACGAACCATCTTCCACCCGAGGTAATCCACGGCGATATTAAAAGCGCGATCGTGGTCGAACACGGCTCCCCTACCGACGCCATAGCCAACTCCTACACCAACTCCACATCCAGCTCCAAAACCGAGCCCAAAGTGAAGTTTAGGAAGTCCTGGTCCGTACCCTCCGATAAGACCGGCACCGAAACCAAACCCACAACCGGCACCGAGTGCTAAGGCCGGACCAACACTTCCGACGTCCTCAAAAAGCTTCATCACCAACCCTTTCTCATCGTCTCTGTTCCTCTTGTTGCTCATGGCCTCTACCTTTTTTTTTACAAAGCAAACTTTGGTTGGGTCTTAATGGAGGAGCGTGGAGAGGGTTTAAATAAATCATCTAGATTCGGTCATCAATGTACTGCGGTACACACTTTCTGGCGTAATTAATTAACTATAAAAATTCAATAATGAAAACGTTTGCACATCGATGAAGAAACAACTTATTAAAAAAATGCTAGTGGATGATCTCAGATAAAAACTAAGAGAATAATATAAAACCACCCAATCATTGTTCGAAAGAAAAACGTAGTACACAATTCAAGAAGAACTTGTTTTGTTGAGTTCAGTCTCCAATGCTTCAACAAACTTATCAGCGTAACCACTCAACAATCCAGGACTAGCCAAAGTCTCTCTCAGTTTCATATGATTCTTCTTCACTGTATTCCCAATCACACTGTCTTTATCCATCACCGATTTAACTGCATCTCTCAAGCTCTCTTTGGAGAACCATCCAGAATCTTCTCTTTCCACTTTCACAGAAACTTCGAATTCTTCACTCAATAGTTTTGTGGTAAGAACTTGATCACCTGATTGAGGAATAAACACAATCTGACAGTCACTAACCAGAGATTCCCACATTGAACCGGAGCCACAATGGTTAACAAAGCAACCTACTGATTGATGAGACAATATCAAAGGTTGTTCCACCCAACCTCCCCAAACCATACCACGCCCTTTAACCCGTTCTTCGAACCCTTGTGGTAACGCTTCTTGAATCGTTGATGCGCCTCTTGGCGGTTTAACCGCAACAAGAAATGGTAAACCAGTTAGCTCCATTCCTAAACAGAGTTCTTGAAACTGATCACTCTCTAAAATGGTTTGGCTTCCCAAAGCACAAAACACAACCGAACCAGGTTCAAATCCGTTTAACCAGTGGTTCCATTGGTCTTCTAGTGGTCTAACACTCTTTTCTTGCGCCTCAAGGAACATTGGACCGGTCAAGAAAACTTTCCTCTGACATTCTCTCTCGATGAAACTACAATATTTACCCTCGATTTCCGCGCATGTCCTAATGGAAACTACGTCACAGTTCTTAAACCCTGTTAGGATCCGACTAAAAGCCCGTTTATGGGAATTCAGGAAGATAGAATAGAGGTTAGCGTCGTGCCCACGTAACCCCACCTTCGGAGAAGGATAACCAGACGGTTGTGGAAACCCTAATTCAGCACCAGGTGAAAGAGCAATAGCTACACAAGCTGCAGATACGATCTGGTAACTAACACTCTTGACTCCAAACTCTTTCGCCATTTCTGGAACCCAAGGAACTAAATCGAAAAAGATTAGGTCTGGTTTCAAAGCACAAACCTTTGCTTCGATTTGATCGCGTAAGAGATCCATGGCATCGGATATGACTTTCCCAGTTATGTTTGGTGGGAGATCTGAGGTTGTCTCTGCGCCAACGGGCAGACCTTCAACAGGAGGAAGAGTGATAGGGTGGAAGAAAATGCTCTGTGGGAACAGATTGAGAGGTTCGAGATGTTTCTGAGCTTTATTGGGAAGCAAGAAAGTTATGTGATGACCTTTCTCAGCTAGTTTGTTGGCAAGATGAAGATATGGGATCATATGACCAAAAGCAAAATATGGGTACATAAATGCATGAAACTTTGACCCCATTTGCTCAAGAGAGGAAAGAGAAGAAATTTGTTTTGAGGCTTTTCCCCTCGAATGATAGAAGAAATGTTACTTACTTTGCTTTAGATGTTCTATGATGGGATGCTCGCCTCCTCTGCTCAGTTTCCTTCTATATATATCTAGTAATTTACTAATTTTTAATGTTAATTGCCATTATTAATTAGGATTGTAGTTAGGTTAAGTGGTCGTAGTTGGTGGATTGGATATGTCATTTGTTAAAGAATGTATTTGTCCATATATAAATTACTAAAAAATGGTAAACATCCCACACAAGAAAATTGTTATCAGTGATTTAAAATTTTTATTATAAAAATATAAAAATGAACAAAAAATAATATGAGTATAAACTATAATTTAACGAATATCAATATTTAAAATGTATTATATTTCTACAATAATATCATTTAAACTTAATTGTATATCATATAAAAAAGAAAAAAATATTTTTTTTCATTGTTTTTTAAATAAAAGTAACGGAATTGCCAAATATGGTTAAAGAATATATGACAATTAATGATTTTTAATAATAAAGATTTGATAAAAATTAGTGTAACTTTAAAATTTGAACTTATTAAAATAAATTAAACAACTACATTAACTATATAATAAAAAAAATTTCGTATTTGCTATACTTTGAATTTTTTAAAACGACAATAAATGACTAAAGTTGTTAAAAAATTCTCACATTAAAATTTTTGTGATCCATGGTTAAACTTTATAGAAAATAGAAATGATTAAAAAATTATATAAGTAAAAAGTCTCATTTAATATATATATATATTCTTCAAAATAAATTATGTACCATATAAAAATATATATGTATCTTAATTCTACTTTGCTTTGATTTTTTTTGATAAAACTTTTGAACAAATATTGACAACTTGATATTTAGTTTTAAACTTTGCATAATGTTTTAAAATTATAAATTAATAAAAAATGATAAACATCCCACACAAAAAAATTGTTATCAGTGATTTAAAATTTTTGTAATAAAAATATAAGAGTGAACAAAAAAATAATATGAGTATAAACTATAATTTAACAGATATCAATATTAAAATGTATTATATTTCTATGATAATACATTTAAACTTAATTGTATATCATATAAAATAGAAAAAAATCTGTTTAAATTAATAAAAAAATTATATATTTACACCAATTTAATTATATACGTAATAGTTACTAAATTTTTAATTATCAATATATCCCTTATATATTAAAAGAGAACCATTTTAATAAATGCGTTCACACCATAATTGACACGTGTCTGCTTCACAATCATTTGAAAATAAATGTGTTTACACACTAATTCTTTAAATTCATTATTTAATGTATTTATACACTATTTTTTAATTAATTTATTTTTCTTACATTTTTAGCTTTTGTATTAATAAATTAAAACATTCTACGTGAAACTAATGACTATTATCTTGATTATAAAAAATACAATATCATTAAAATTCGCATCACCTAAAGTGTTGCGATGAAAATCTTTTTAGATATTGAAACTTTCGTACCTTGCCGAAGTTGGTCATGGTTGAGGCTTCGGTACACAATAACAACAAATAAGGTGATTGATTATGAATTAAAGAAACTGAGGTGAAAAACACCACACGTAAAGTCAGATCTTTAATTTTGTCGAATATTAACATTTTTATAAAGTTTTCATATCAGACCAAGAATTAGAAACAAAATCAAATTGGTAAAAAAAAAATTCAGAAATCAGAAAAGTTTTAAAAAGAAATAAAAATCACAAAATCGATTAAAAACATAATTGAGGTACCAAGTGAAGATGTCACTTTATAATATATTTTATTTTTATTTTTACGGGTACAATTTGATTTTCTTCATATGAAAAAAATGTTATTAATTTCTAGGTTTGTTTTATTTTTACTTAATTTTATTTAAAAATTTACTATCATATGTTATTTTGAACAAAAATGTTTTAAATCTTAATTAACGGTATATTCATATATTTATCATAGTATTTATATACTTTTACATATACATACATGTACACATTAATATGAGCGACTATATAACTAAATATTCACCACAAGTGAGAATTTTAATTCATATTGAAGTTGAATTTTTTTTAATGTTTTCTTTTAATATCGCTCAAATTTTAGTGAAATGTTTTATGTTAATAAATTTATTTACTTTTTTCGAATATTATTTATATTTTATTTTATTTTACATGTCTTTAGAAATTATAATAGGAAACTATTAGTTCGACATCAAAAATATCTAAAATTTATATAAAACGAAACCAAACAAAGAACAATAGTTTTTGGTTATCATCAAAAAAATCAAAAACATCAAACATTTACACCAAACAAACCAAAATAAATATAGATTTAGAATGATAGTTATATTTTAGGAGATTAAAAAAAAACGTAAAACTAAACTAATATTCTTGCTTAACAGACATAATATCATTTTGTCATAAAAGTAACAAAAGTAATAATCTCATTCCGCGCAAGGCGCGGGTTATTACCTAGTATATATATATAGCAGCTCAAACAACGTGCTGTTTAAGTGCTATAATCAATTATTAGCCATTGGAATTTGTTCGGTTAGGTGGTCGTAATTAGTGGATCAAACGTCCCATCAGCCATGTGCTAAATGTCATTTGATCATTGTGAATTTGTGATCCAGATTTATTTGTAGGTCTTTTGTCTTCTGGTGTTAGTGTGAAAATCCCAAGCTACCCTTTTTATAAAACTTGCAACAACAAATCATTAGAAACAGTAACACTGTTCAACTTTTTTTTTTTTTTAACGCAGTTAAAAAATATAATTAAGTGAATCAGTGGTCGAGTGAATTGGTTTGCCACTTCGGCTTGCGATTGTTAATTTAGTTTTTGGTTAGTTAGATTTGTACAAAATTTTATCATGTTTGGTAAGGTTAAGAAAGAGCTACAGATTCTCTTCACCCTCAATCCCTCATACATAGGCTCGGGAGAGGGATCGTGTACTTAGGTTCTGCCAGAATCCCACCAAACCATTCACATTACTACCTGCAAACACAAAAATTGAGGAGGGAAGTAACTAATCTACAAAATTTATATACAAAGGCATGACCAAGATTAACATAAGAATATTTGATACGATCGAAACATTAGAACAAATACATCTCTTATATAAGATTAAACTTTTATTATTCAATTAAATTTGTTAATTTTACTAAATAATAAAAAATTATAAGATTTCAGAAAAATATTGTATGTTTTTAAACCTCCAACTAAAATTTTATGTTTTTAAACCTCCAACTATGAAACCGTTAATGTCGTTAACCTTCCGTTATCAAAATCGTTTTTTCTTAACGAAAATCCGTTAAATTGAAACACCGCGTTTCATATAAATTCAAAAACGGCAAGAGATTCTTATCATCAATAGATATTTAGTGATTTAAACCTCCAACTATTTCTAAATCAGATAGAAAACCCCTAACAAATTTTTTATATTTTTAAACCCTCACCTATTAAATCTTTAATATTTTTAACCCTCTGTAAACAAGTCATATTTTCTGAACGGGAAACCGTTAAATTGAAACACAAAGTTTCATGTAATCATATAAACGACATGAAATGTTTAAACCCCCTATATCAGTGAGCAATGATAATCACAATTCATCCGAATTTGCGATGGATTGATAAGGATGAGTTGTACTTTGTGGATCATTCTTGAAAGAGTTAAATTTTACTGTCCAAATGGCTCTCACTTACTTCAAGACCATTAAACCAGCGAGTGATCACATTTTGTTGCGATCGATGTTGTTCAGCTCTCTTCAACTTCTTTACTCAACTCTTCTACTTTAACATTCATGAAGGAAGCTGAAGGAGACGTCCCCCGGGACAGCCCGCAAAGGCTTATAAATTATGCGGTACGGGATTGGGTAGCCATTTGGAAGACCGCAGCCCGCGTGGGACAGGCCCGCCGTGACCCGCTCGACGATGAGCCCACTGCGGTACGGGACGGAACGAGACGGGAAGCCCAATTGCCATCTCTAAGTGCAACAAATAATTATCTGCATAAACCAAGAGAGAAAAAGGAAACAATTTACTATGTTTCAACACTAACTAGCGAAAAGGCAAGTTGAACTTTTTCACCTGATTGGCTAAATATTAGCTTGAGTCAAAGTAAATATGTTTTACACTTAAAATATATCGTTAGAAGTGCCATACAATCATAGTCTAAAATTAGAAACAATACAGTTTTTTGACTTACCTCACATTCGATGAAGAGGGAAAAGAACTTTAATTTTTTTTATTTGAGGATGAATTGTGATTGTCATTGCCCATTGATATAGGAGGTTTAAACATTTCATGTCGTTTATATGGTTACATGAAACTCTGTGTTTCAATTTAACGGTTTCTCATTCAGAAAATATGACTTTATTTACAGAGGGTTAAAAGCATTAAAGATTTAATAGTTGAGGGTTTAAAAATATAAAATTTTATGTTGGGGGTTTTCTATCCGATTTAAAAATAGTCGGAGTTTTAGATCACTGAAATATATATTGATGATAAGAACCTTATGTCGTTTTTGAAATTACATGAAACGCGGTGTTTCGATTTAACGGGTCTCCGTTAAGAAAAAAAAGATTTTGATAATGGAAGGTTAACGACATTAACGATTTAAAAGTTGGAGGTTTAAAAACATAAAATTTTAGTTGGAGGTTTTTTATCCGATTTAAAAATAATTGGAGGTTTTAATCACTAAAAACCCAAGTTATTTTTATAAAATGGCTATTATTTTTAAACATGACATCTTTATCTGCAAATTTATCTTACATAGTATCCACTTCAGCAAAATTAGATGATGTGGCAACTGATGTGACCACTGGTGTATGATTTTGCCAAAAACATAAAAATATGTAGTTTTGTGAATCTTTCGAAAGTACATGTATATTTATTTTTGCATGGTCATATAAGTCGGATATGAATTGAACATATCCTGATATGTTGGGTGAAGTGA